TCTAATTCCTGGATCTTCCAAGAATGTAAGAAAGAACCTCTGCCTGTTCATCCAACAAATCCACAAGGTTGGCAGAACTTGTTTTACAGTTGGAAGATCCAGGTTGCGAGTTTGCCAAGTGTAGGTGTAGCTCAAAGAGTCCCGGCTGATGCCTTTCAACTTGGGTTCCCCGAACGGAGAACAGCAGAAATTCCTCTCGATCAACGTGATCGCAAGGATCGATCGATGACGAGCTGAAGCCAAGATCATGATCTCATTGAATATAGTTGTTGAGTTTCGGGAGTTTGCCATGCCATGGATATTTCCGGCGCATCGAAGATCTATACTCCTCCCCCCCCCTTTAGAAAGGAACAGGAAGGCTTTGGGTGAAGCATGGTCCGCTTTCGGCTTGCCCTGAAAACATCCTTCGGCTTCCGTCACGTCACGGACCTCGACGTGGATGTGCGGGACCCGAAATTGGCAGGACAAGACCAATGGAGAGCGTTTTGGGCTTGATGTCGACCATGAGGAGCACGTAAAAGAGCGCCTTTTGGCCGGCGGTGGGCGGGATTCTCGAAGAATGCCACCGACCAACTTCTTCACTTCTTCCAAGTGACCTGTTTAAGACCTTTTACTGGCCTAAGCGCCCGCAAATGTCCTCAAACCAGGTCAAAGGATGGTATGAGCGTCTCCACTTCTCGCACCAAAAAGCAGCTGGTGCTTCATCGATCATTCAGTGAACAAGCTCCCTTGGAAGCCGTATACAGCTAGTAATTAGAAGTGGACAACCCAAGACAACCCTCTCTTGGTCGAGGCACATCCTCCTTTCGCGGCCAGGTGCTGCCCTTCCAGCGCATTCCACATGAAATGCAGTAGGAGGTCCAGTGAAGAAGACCTTTTCGCAGCTATCCAGAGTCACCCGAAGCTTCACGGAATGACTGTACGTGGTTACACAAGTGCTCCGCTGGAAAGGCTTCAGGTGCATGAAAGTCCTGCGACAGATGAATGTTGATGAATGTGGATCAATGTCATTCTCATAGGCTCCAAAAAGCCATCTCATCACATATATACCCATATTCAACTGCTCTTTGCGCCCAGCCCACAACAAAAAGACACAGCCACACCCGGAACTCGGGGTGAATTCTGTGGAAGCGACCAACTGCGCCCTCCACCCGGAACGTCCGGCCTTTTCAACGAAGCTTAGCTGCGGAAAGGACGGCCGGACTCTGGCGGTGGATGCCATCACGGGCGGATTGATCCAGAAGTGGAACGAGGAACACCCGGACAAGGCGTGGGCGGCGCCTTTTTTGGGGTGGGGTTTGTGAAACAGCGCGTTGTTTGTTGTACATTGTTTTTTTTGTTTTCAGTGGAAGAGGACCATGAACATGAAGAGGCAAGATATTTATAACAAATATCACGGACCATGGTGGGGATGGTCAAACATCTCCAGGCCTGCTTCTTATTCGTAACAATGTGTTCGATCAATCACTCAACATGATCCATCACTATCATTCACTCCAAGTCTTCTGACTTTGACTCTTCGTCCAGCGGTTTGGTGTCGTTTGTCAGAGGCAGGTTCCCACGGTTCCCAGGTCTGGTGACCGGTGGCCTCTTTGGCGACTCCATTTGGCTGGATAACCCCACGAGGTTCTAATCTGTTCCAGTTGGGAAACATTTCCATCCAGACACAGACGCACGTGCAAGATATTGCTAGCACGCAATTTTGTGTCAAGGTTCGCGTGAATAGAGGTAGGGCGTGATAGATTGTGCTGGCGGTGCAGAGGCTTCAAGCGCTAACTGATTGGTGCACCTTGCACGCCACATGTGCGTGCTTCAATTTTGAGGAAGAATATCCGAAAAGTTTTTCTGTTGAAAAAGCTTCATGTGACGTATAGGCTTGACTATAAGGTTGAGAATAGATATCACATTAAGTCCTTCCTCCCTAGCCCTTTTTTGTAATATCATAACTGGTGCAACCAAACCGTCGCCGCCGAACGTATTCCTCGCGTTGTTCCTCGCGTTGTCTCTTGGAGGCTGTGAGGCCGAAGGATCGGATCGTCGAAGTGAATGGCTTGCGCGGCGATGTGCTAGAGCTGGTGGACGAGATGAAGAAACCCAAGGCGGCAGCGCCGTTATTTTGGCGTGGCATGTTGAGAGCTGTCCAGAGTTCTCGTGATGAATTGTTTTTATGTTCTGTCTATGTGGAGTATCGTGGTGAATGCTGTTTTCTTGCAGCTATCGTTTTGTTAACAGTTTGTCTGGTGGACAATGAGGCAGTTGTTCCATCAACGATGGAAGGAAGCTATGAAGTTCGACATAACCACAATATGACACGAACAGACCAGGGCCTCCAGGGCTTTGGGTCCTGACAGGAGTCCCCATGGATGAACGTTGTCTCTCCAAGCACCTTTAAGACTTAAGGCCGCCAACGGGCCCAAACTGACACACCCATCCGCATGAAGACTTTTGATGATAGAACCCCTTCTCTCCAGAATTTGTTTTACATCTCCAGGCCTGCAGGGGTTTCATGAATCTTGATGAACAATGCCCTCCCATGTTGGCTTGTAAGACCTTTTCAGTACAGGGGGTTTTATGAATCAGTCTACATATGTTTATATACATTATCATCAACAGTCTGCATGATGTGGCACTGTTTCATTCCTCCTCAGCTCTTCTGAGGTTTTGCAGCTTGATCACCCCAGCCACCAGCAGGAAGACATAGGAAGACACGTTTGAACCGTTGAAATCCGTTGGAATATGTTGGTCATGACCGGGTCGTTGGCACAACTTGGTACAACTGGGGTGTAGTTGGGGGTGTACAACAACGGAACGGTACAGCAACCGGGACATTGGTCCCGGGTCGCTTCGAAGAGGTGCTGAAGATCCATGTGAAGAGGGAGTGAGGCTCATTGAGTCGAAAGATGTCACCGGTCTGCCGCGATATGCGACTGCTCCGTCGCCTGCTTTGTTGTCGAAAGCAAAGGTTTTGACTGCATTGGTTTTGGATTGATTTTGGTCTGGTGGCACATGTATAAGGTCTGTCGGTTTGGTGCTCTGGTGCATTGTGTTCGATGTTTGTGTTGATTTTCCTTCAAGGGATTGGTTCGTTTTTAAGTGATTGCGACTGGGTCAATTAGTGGGACTTGTTGAGTCTTGGGGTCGTCAGATGGATGCCACACACACACACACACGTCACCATTAACATGATATAGTTATATACTTTTTGGCTACTTGGTGATGGCCATGGGGATACTCATTAAACCTATGTCGCATGGTGTCATGGTGGCATGGTTGCTCTAAATCCATAGCCTTTGGAGATACATTCAGATCAAAATTAATTTGCATCTTGGAACTTGAAGCATACAAAATTGGACCATTCCTTTTTTCAGCGATGCATTTTCACCAAACCTTAGTTTCAAGTGACTGGCGGCAGCATGGTCTACCACCAGGCATTGGTGCTGTCAAGAGCTAGTTTTGGAGCAGAAAAACCAAAGGTGTGACGATCTCAAACTTTTCTAAAGCCCAGTAGACGCCTACGAAATTATATAAGTAAGGGCAGGATAGCTTACTAAGTAACCTGTAGGCCACTACCTACTGGACGCAGGATAGCTCAAGCTTCTTCAAGGAAGCTCCCCCGCCTGAGGGGGGGAGCTTCCTTGAAGAAGTGCTCGAACTAATCACGAGTCATTTGGTTCCTGGTTTTCCAAATCAGAGGCTGCTTTCCAGCAGTAGCCGCAGCCAGCAGCAGCGCATTCAATGCCTCCACGTCACTCTCACACAGTGTAACTGCATCAATGTCCCTCAAATGTTCCCTATCTCCATCTATCTCCTGATTTGATAGAGGGCACTTCATCGGTGATCGTTGTTGTCTCAGTGTCGAACATTTAAAATCACCTTATGCGGATGATATTAGACTTGTATCGTACACGGTGTTGATATCGTGGGGAAGAAGCGCATTCACCGCGTGACCGAGGTAGCCCCATTTGCATCATTCACTGAGCGCATGGCATTTTGGCAAAACCTACTCGAAGCAGCATTAGCCATACATCGTTTTTGTTGATGGCAGCTGGGGTAGTGATGATATTCCAAGCAATTCCACGTTCCCGCTTTGACTCACTTGAGAACTGCGCTCATAAATGATGAAAAAAGTCATGATGGTGATGATGATGGTGATGATGATGATGATGGGTACAGTAATGACTTAATGATGGGTATGTTTGATCGTCTAATATCGTGTACTTGCACTGATAGCCACTACACAATGGTGCTGCTGGAGCCTCCCGGAGACTTCTTTCTTTTGTGTGAAGTAGATGTGACAAATCCGAGCAATTAATTGATTCATCAATGAATACCACTCTCTCGTTCCACACGTTACACCACTCGATGAGGAGCTAGGAATGGTTCAGAACCATGAACCCACGATTGAGCCTGCCCCTTGAGGAGTTCTTGACCATGATGCGTGCCACTGGCGAGAAGTCCTAATGGTGACGAACATGCCAGGCAGTGATGAAGCCTGGACCAGAGACTGAAGACAGTTTCTCTCCGGCTATCGCCTGAAACAATGACGACAAAAGTAAAGCCTTGGAGGCGTTATCCTCATCTTGACCACGGTCAATGATCACTGACGATGTGTACATATTCATCATATTCAGAGTTGGATCAGTTTCACTCGCGGACTCAAAAATCGGGTCCGATAAGCATTGACATAAAAAGGATTCCACTGCCGACATCAACTGGATGCTCGAGGGCTGTAGGCTTTTGACTTCCTGAAAAACGCCTATGTAATAAGAACGATGCGAGGAGGTGGAATGAGAAAAGGTGAACTGAAAGTAGATGGCGAATCCATTCCGTGTATAGTTATTTGCTGTGATCTATTTGGAGGCTATGTTGACAAAGGTCCCAGATCCAACTGAGTTGGCCTATGTTAGTTTTAACTGATGTGCAACTGTAACTATAGCTGTGGCATTGGCCCATTCTACCATTGTTTGTTGTCTTTTTCTATGTTCTTGGCTCCCGCTCAGGTGGTAGCCAGTGGTTTTATGGTGGCTTGCGCCCCGTGACTGGCCACAGATGGCTGTGCTACCAGGTGAGATCGCTGCGTCACTAATATGTTGGGTGTGTTCTTCGTGGTGGGTCAGAAAAAGCTGAAAGGTCGCTCTGTTTAGCGTGGTGCCTCTGTTTGCTGTAGCTGTAGCTCAAGTTCAGCTTGAAACTTGCGCTTCAAGATTCATTAAGCGGATGTATTGCCACTTGGCTCGGAGGTCCCAGATGTCGCTTGGTCCATGGCGCAGCTGGGGCAGCTGGCGTAGCGTTTGGCATAGCGTTGGAAGCTGAGTTGGGGAGCCTTTGAGTTTCAGCAAGGGCTCATTCAGGCTCTTGGTGAGGGTCTTATCAGTTACTATTACTTACTTTAAACGGTTGCTTAAAGCAACAACTGGGCTTTCGATGCAAGCGGGATACCTTGATAGCTTCACCAGCGATGATGTGAAATTGCTGATCTAAGTTATTAACGATGAGGATAGGCCACAGGAGATATGACCACATCAACAAAGCTCCTCAAGCCGAGTCAATTGCAAGCTCTTGCAAAGGGCGTGCATTGCAAGACACAAAGACGCAGGTTGTCAGGTTCTACGTTCCCAACAGGCCATACAGCAAGCAAATGCAAGCGGCATGGCATTCCGTCACATGAGTTGGGAGCCTTTCCTTCACTCACAGATCTCACAGCTCACGAGTCCCCATCCCCACAAGTGCCATTGAGCGCTCAACTGTGCTCTACTCAGCAATTGAAATGAAGAGCCTTTTAGCAAACAGAGGTGACTCATGTTGCTTTATTGGGCATGGCCAGGCCCTCGTCAGGTCAAGGGTTCCCAAGACCTACGGCAAAGATAGCTCCTGAGTCCTGCATCAAGTATTGGGTTCACAGCATCCATGCATGTGATTGATAAGTCATGGCTGGATGTGATCCATGTATTTTTGAAGTTGTAACTGGATGCAACTGTGACTTCGGTTGGCAGTCCATTCCTCACATTGCGCGTCTCATGTTTCGGACATGGATTCCTCGGATCCTTCAGAGTTGATCCACTGATTCTTGGTGTGCGGTGATGTGAGGTGTATTGAAGTAGGGTCAGGGTGGCCTCAAACCGAAACCCCCTGGAAGAGGATAAAGATACTAAAGATTGAGCCAGCTGGGTCTGCCTATGGGAGCTATAAACCCAAATCAGATGTTTTGAGGCTTTGAGGCGATGGTTTGCATCCCAGCGCAGAAGTTCTCGGCACTGCACGTTCCCGGACACATACATTGAACCAACCTTCCAGGCAGCCAACCCAATGATCCGTCCTTTGTCCAGTGACATGGATCTCAACTCCACTTCAAGCCATGCTCAGCTTTCAGATGCTCGCGTATGACGCGCAAATTCTAGGTCCCATCTAGCAACGCCAATCAGCATCAACCAGATGTTAAGAAAACACCGTTGGAGTGCGATGTGGGATGTTCAAGTCCAAGTCAACATCGTTTGGATTTAGAGACATGAGTTGCCCAATCGAATGGTAGAGCTGGACGACCACAAAGCTCTCCAAAGAGCGGCGTGAAAGAGGCGCCAAAGCGACGATTCCCCAGCTCGTGCCACGCTGAGTTGGGCAGTGCCTTCGCCAGTCACATGGCACCTGCAGCCAGTCACCAAGATCAAGAGTCAGAACGATCCAATGATTCCTGCAACCGTCAAGTGGCATACATGCTGGATCAGGGGGTGGAAAGGGGGCCATGAAGACATAGCATGTGCAGTTTGTGCAAATGAACCGGGTAAAGCCAAGACTTTAGACCTTGACTAAGAACAGCTTAACAGATATGGCATGGCTAGGTAAGCACACAGGCACATACCTTGTCAAGAATGTGTGAAGTGTTGACACAGCGGTTAGTGGCGGCTTTTGTTGCAAAACCATGATGTTGCCATGTGTGTCTACAGCCATTTTGGCTTACTATGCAATATTGTTTGGATCATCCGAACTTGAAGGGAGGTTTTTCTCCAGCATGGCAAGTCGCAGGCTGTCGCAGGAACTGCAGTACCTTCTTTCCATCCAAGGTGTTTCACTACTGTAGGTACCTTGGACGGCCATCCGCCCAAGATCGACGTAGGCTGTCCAATGAGACCCTGCGCCGACCCGTCCTATGCCTGATGACTTAACCTTGGCCTGGCAGCGCCTACGCTCTTCGCGGGAGTGGGGTGCTGAGCGAACAAGGAGGAGATGTCCAAGTTTTTGAAGTGGATGTTGATTCGCATGGATGCCCATCTTGTTTTGTTTCTTTGTGTGTATGTGTGTGTGTGTTTGTACTGGAAGATACTGGAAGTGCAATATTTGGGATGGAAACATTTTTTGGCTTTGACCTGCAAGAACTTGACAGCTCTTCATTTCATAGTGGCTTGTGATTCCAATATCTGAGGACGCCAACGTCCGGACTGCACACGACCCTTAACTTGGCTCAGCAGACAGCTTAGCTGCAGCAACACGAGGATACTGACAAAGCGTCAACTTGCAAGGGAACCTGTACAAACATAACAGGTTATGCCCTTCCCTTCCTCTTGGAAGATCGAATCAACTTGACACGCCCATCACCCATCCCAAGCCATCGCTTCAAAGCGCTTAAAAGGTCTCCCGGAACGTCGAACTCGGCCCAGGTCCTCGCGCTCCCCCCGGAGGCTCCGGCCAACGGCTCCTCCCGAGCCGGCCGCGGACCTGGGAGACCCACGACCGCGGTTTCCATCGAGCTTGGCTCACTTGCCGTTCGGCAGCAAGTCATGCTTGCCTCAGGGGTCGGTCCTTATGAATCATTAATAATAATAATAATAATAGTAATCATATAATATATATATATAAGTACATAGTTCGTTCCTCAGCAGGCGGAGGAGGACCTCTCAGCTTCCATGCTGGTGAGAGGGAGAAGTGAATTGGTGTTGAGAATTCCCACAGCGAAACATTGTCGCATCTCACACTGTGACGGGACACTCTCGTACTTTACGTCTCAAGAGTCGCATTTAAGATGTTCCTGCCCACCAGCAAGAAGGTTCCCATGATTTCCCATGCATCCCAGGAGAGTGGATTTGGGGCCGCCGCGCCCTACAGCCCAAACAGTCACATCAACGTCGCAGAATGTTGGCAGCCCAGGGTGGTCCAAGTGGCTTTCTTGAAAAAGGGTTACCGGTTGGTTTGCTGTTGCACAACATGAACACCTTAATTAGAACTGAGGAAGTGGTCTCGAGTCTCGAGATGAACCATAATCAGTCGAAACCACAAAAAGACAATTCGCAATTTCTAGAACTCTGAGAATATATTTTTACCCAGTAAAAACGCCTCATGGACTATCGCCGCCCTTTTAAGTGCCGGATATCAGAGAACCTACGAACCTGTAACGTACATGGTATGACAATGCAATCTACTCAAAGATATTCAACTCTGCGAGCGGAATCCCTTACGCAAAAAACATCAAACAGGTGAGGCACATGTTCATTTGGAATTGAAATCTATTTCGAATCTTATAATCATGTTCTCTCGTTTGAATGAGCCGAGTGGACTCCCTTGAGAGGTCAGATGCGTGGATACTTCTCTACATGCAGAAGAACGAAGAATCATGTGAAGTTTAGCATCGAAATGTTAAGATACATCCCATGGCCTAAATAATATTGGGGATGTTGTCATTCTGATATGATTTGATCGAAGACAACTGAAGTGCCTCGGCCAGTTTCTTTGTCGAAGGTTGAAGATCAGATGCTTGCAACCATAAAGGCCCATGTCAATGGTTGTGCTTGGCTTCGGGCTCCTTTTGAAGGGAGTAGATTATTTTACATCACTTGATTCTGGAGACATTACTCACAAAAGGGAAGTGCTCCTTTAATCCTACCAGTTGGTTGTAGCTTGTGCTTTCCTGTGAATTTCGCATATGAGTTCAGCCGCTGATCCTGGAGAAAAGCTCAAGTTTGAATCAGGTCAGATTTGGTATGAAAGGTGTGGCTGTGGAAGGTACAAAGTGTTGTTGGGAACACACATGGATGCACAATGGACAGGAGCGCTTGGCCGCTGTCAAAGCAAAAGAAAAGTCTTTGGAGGCCGGGTCTCGGGTCTCAGATCGACACAGATCAAGTCTCGAAGGAGTCACGGAGTCGCCTACAGCGTGAGCATCACTCTGTGCGATCGGAACCGTGTGCTAGGACCAATTTGACACTTTGTGCACCACCCATGCGAACTTGCAGCGAGCGCTCCAAGAGGCCTGGTTCCTCACTGTCGGTAGTGGCCTTGAATCATAAACTGATGACTTTGAATGCCCTTTTGAGTATGTTGTCCACATGGACTGTGAAACTGTCCTTGTGACCTTGTGATGCTGCAGGCGTGTTTGTAGATGCAGATATGGAGGATTTTCTCCGGAGTTGCAAAATGCAAATAAAGGGCCTTTGTAGATTCTTGCGACAAGTTTACAGTTGAAATGAACTCGAAGTTCAAATCTTTAGGACGGGTCTTTTGATGCAGTCCCTTGCTTTTTGCAAGGGCTATACGAAGAAACCACACTTTAGACATCCGTTCGGTTCGCAAAAGGCACAAGATCACGAGCCACAGAACGATTTGAAAGGCGGAGAAGAGAAGGCGCCTGAGTGTGTCGGATGAAGCCGCTACAGTACTTTGTCGTTCTGCGTTGTTGTAGTTGGTTCAAGTGAAGTGTCACTTTGCGTCACTTGGCATTCGACTATCGCAACATATCGCAACTATCGTCCTTCCTGCAACGACGATCCACAGGCAACTACTTGTACCTGAGAGAGGACAAACTGTGCATTGTAAACAGGAGTTACTTGTTCCATTTTGTTACGGTTGAGGCTCTTTTGCGTTGAGCTGCATTGATACCATACCTATAACCTCTTCTTGGGCAGAAATTTCTGCCTATTATGGGTAAAGGCTGCTTAAGCGTTCTTGCCCCCCCGTAGGCGTTCTTGCCCCCCTTTGGGCGTTCTTGTCCTTTTGGTGAGGATCCACCCACCACTGATTCC